TCTGACCTCATAACCCTGCCCTGTTTCCTGATTTCCTGTCACAGCTGGGCTCTCTCTCTTTTCCATCCGTTTCAAGGTGAAATGGGAGGCTGATGACAAGCTGACCACTTCTCCTCTACATACAGGTAACCTATGCACAGTAATATGTACATACACTTCTCGTACCATCCACTGTATGTGAAGATAGGAGTTGCCGCCTCGCTGTTCCTCCTCGCCCTCTGCATCTGTGACCCCTAGTACCTGGATGGAGAGATCGATTTCCTACGTCATTTGTTCTCTAAACTGGGCTACCCTCGCCATGTTCTCGATGTCGCGTTATCCAGGGCGTACCTTCTATAATGACTCCTCACCTTAAGTGACTCCTCACTTGCCAGTCTTCAGCCTGCCCTACAGCGAGATTTACTCTCTTACAGACTCACCTTTCGCTAGGTCATAACCTGACTCAAACCTGCCCTCCCTCTACCTTGGAGGTAGGTACCTATGCTGTTCCGTGTACTGCATGTGACAAGCAGTATTTTGGTGAAACAGGCACCAGTCTTACTTAGCATCTGTCTCCAGATAAAGAAGCTGTATCCAGGGGACACAACAACAACGCCCTTTTCTGTCACCAGTGGGTCACAGACCATCAGATGGATTGGTCAGCAATGCACATTGTCTTCCCTTCCGCTGATGTCCATGTCCACAGACAGTTGGAATCATCCTTAATCAAGATGCTGCACAGTTTCAACTTGAATAGAGGTTTTTCTCCTGTGGATAGTCTCCTCGCTTTCCACAACCTCCGCCTTCTTATGTATGCTCGCAACCCTTTACATAGACCGCCTGATCCTTCTCACATGCCATGTTCCTTCTTGTCATACTGCTTCCTCTCCCCATACCCCTTTAGACCCGGAGATGGAGTCAAGGACAATTCTGAAACTTGTCTTATTTATTTCAATAAATCTAGTTTGTGATTGTGTTTTTTTCTACCTTAGTATCAACTCAGTAGAATGTTTTTCCAGTCATACATATATATACACATACATATGAATAAATATAATATATATATATATATATATATATATATATTATATATATATATATATATATATATATATATATATATATATATATATATATATATATATGCTTATTTATTCATAAAACACATACACACACACAAAATTGTGAGTAATACTGAAAACAACACATTTTGCACAATCCTGCTTTCTCTGTTATTCACTTATTTCACTCGGAGGATTATTCTATAAATGAAACAAATTCTGAAAAAACAGAGCATTATTTATTCAGCAGAAATAAAGGTTATAAGGCTTCAACAGTAAGCCACTGTAACAATATAATACAATGACTTCTTAGGATAATGCATCTGTCAACATCTTACTATCTGCAGAATAATGAAGGATATGAAATTACATGATTGAACTTCAATTATGAGGTATTACTTTATGCCAATTATTAATATTGTACTGGACATTTTATATGTGAATACCTACATCTTTCAGTCAACATGCAACCATTTTAATAGTATTTAATTATAAAATGATATTTAATCTCTGATATACTATACATTTTTGATGAAATGTTTGCAGCATACATGAAAATTGGCAGACAAATGTAGCTTTCATATCCATGCAACATGAATATCTTGCTTAGCAAGACTGGCATGATATTTACAAAGCTATAAAATTCTATAGTATTTATCCCATATATTCATATTTGAATATTATACAGGTGAAAATGCAATGAATTATTAACTAGTATCTATAAACTTTATATACAGGATGAGTTTAGTCATCTAAACTGTACAGGTCAAGTTCACAAGTTTGATATATTTCTATATACAGTGATATGCTCGTTTAGAAGACTTAAAAGAGATAAAAATCACAGCACTGTTCATTACCCTTCTTAGAATCCAACACTTAAACATTCCTAACTGTTTGTATTAGAGGAAATATATTTTCAGCACAATTAATAGGTATTGGATCAGATGAAAAGAGTAACCTAAACACTGATAAGGACTTAGGTCCCAGACACCATTTACACATGACTCTCCAGCACAGGATACAGTGGATTCAGGACAGCCTCCTGGACACTTAGGCGACGATGAAGGTTTTCCTTATCATCCATGTCACATGGAAGAACTAATTGCTGTGGTCTAGATAAGTCAGGTGAAGATGTCCTTATACGTTCACGGGCTAACCATGCTTCTAAAGACCTGTCAGTGTTCAACCTCTCATCTGCCACAAGTGGTTGCAATCGCTCCCATGCTGAAAGACGAGTAGAACGGGGACTACTTCTAGACATTTCCCCACTATGTAACCACGCCCACTTGGCTAAGTCCTTCGTGCCTCCTACAGTATGGCGTCTTTTGATGTGTCCACGGTAACCTGATCGCCGCATGCTAGACTTACTAGTTTTATTGCTACTGCTGCTGATATTATTGTAATGATTACTATTTGATGACTTCATGGGATTGCTACTTGGTTGGCTGTCTGTGTTCTGT